TCATGGTTGTCCCAAAGGTGCTTTTTCAAGAGGCAACTGGACTTTCTGGTTTTTCTTTGAATTCTTTGTTTCATTTCTCATCCAAGAAGCTTCTTCAGCTCTGTTTCAGCTTCAGCTCAGAGCTGAAGAAGCTTCTTGGATGAGAAGCGAAACGTCTTCAAAGAAAAACCAGAAAGTCCAGTTGCCTCTTGAAAAAAGCACCTTTGAGTCCTTCCTCTATTGACTGATTGTTTCCTAGGCAGCCAAGGTCCCCCAAGGTCATCCATACAGTCAATTACCACTATGATAGTCTGCTATCAGGAAGAGAAGATGAGAATTCCCTATAAACAACAAAGAGGAAAAAAGAGATTGGCTCCATTAATTATTGAGCAACTCAAAATGCCACTAACAGAACTAAAAGCAGCAATAAAGGGATCTTAAAGTACATTGATATTGCTGTGCCTGATTTAAGATTCTGAAAGTAATCAGTGATACACTCATTTCCAATAGCTAGTGCCAATCAACAACTTGATTTATATATTTTAGACAGAAGATTTGAAGCCAACCACCTCCTCCTTCCCTCTCCCTCTCCTTTCAGCTAGGGCAGTGTTTCTCAACCTTGGCAACTTTAAGATGTGCGCACTTCAACTCCCAGGATTTTCCAACTCATAAAATATTTCATAGTTTTCATAGGAGGGAGCCTGAGCTAAAATATCAAGTGAAACTTATGGGGCTTGCTTATAGTTCAAAATAGTAGCATTTTTCCAAGAACATCTGTTTGGGGGTAAGATCTGATCTGTATGCGTGATTAACAATGCTCCTTGCCAAACCAATTTTTCTTAATGTTACTGCAGCCGTCTCTCATTTTTTAAAACAAAATATTGCATTTAGTTGATAGGTCTAAATAGTTAGGAAAAAGTACAATTCTTATAATCAGAGCCACCCGTTTTATGCTATTATTTGCAAAAGACAACAAATCATCATTACCCCATCTAGTTATCCTAGCAGTGACTGTGGAGCACTGACTGAAATTTCACTCAGTTTTTCTAGATAGTTTAAATATATACATATGCATATATACACAAATATATACAGAGAGGACAAATTTGTCATGGGTTTCCCATTTTTCAAAACTGTCAAGTCTGCTTTTCCTCTGTTTCTCATTTTTCATTCACTTAACTTGTGATATTTTTTTTTAAAAAATGCATCAAAGCGAAGAAACATTTTGGTGTATATTTTTTTTTGAAAATACTTTGTTTGTAATTTTGCCAAATGCAAATAAGTTTGTAAACAATTCCCTCCAGTGTAATGGTTTTTATTTTTACTCTGAATATATGCATTTTTGTACATGCTTTCCCACAAAGTAAGTTCCTTCATTCAATTTCGTAAACTACAAGGCTACAGCAAAGAAAGAACCCATTTTAGGATGTCAGGTCTACTCCCTAATTATGTAAGATTCCAGATTTAATAATCCCTGACAGATCACAGCCTAATCCCTTGAACGAACATCTAGTGAAGGGGAGCCCATGACCTCTCTGAATAATTGGTTCCATTGTTGAATGTCTCAGACTATTCAAAAAATTCTTCTAACACTCAGTCAGAATTTACCTTCTTGATATTTAAATCCATCATTCTGTGCCCTGCACTCTGGAACAATGAGATCTAATCTTGTGTTGTTGTGCAACATCCTTTCAGGTATTTGAAGCAGAGATGCATTTCAGCAGGTTCTGACCAGTTCTGGAGAACCAGTAGTGGAAATTTTGAGTAGTTCAGAGAACCAGTAAATACCACCTCTGACTGGCCCCACCCTATCTATTCTCTGCCTCCTGAGTCCCAGCTGATCAGGAAGAAATCGGGATTTTGCAGTAATCTTCCCCTGGATTGGGGAGGGAATGGAGATTTTACAGTATCCTTCTCCTGCCACGCCCACCAAGCCACGTCCACAGAACCGGTAGTAAAAAAATTTGAAACCCACCATTGATTTGAAGGCTGCTATCATATCAACCCCCATCCGAATCTTTAGTCTCTTTAGGGTTTAGCAGTAAATCCTGATCTCTGAATCTTTATCAGTTTGTCTGACTCCTTCAAATGCTATGACCAGAAGTTGATACATTATTCAAGATAGAGTGTGACTCTCAGAATAAAATGAAAGTATTTCCTTTTGGGATTTGGTTTTTATGCTTCTGCTGATGTAGCCTAAACATTAAAATTGTATACTTTTGAATGTATTGTTGTTTTATTAGGTTAGGAATGTTTATTCGGCATGATTTTAATGTTTTTATGTGTAAGCCACCCAAAGTCGCTTTGAAATGAAATGGAAGGCAAATAAATTTAATCAATAAAAATAATAATTGCTAGTTTGGGACTCAAATCATATTGCTGATTTGCATTAATTTTGCAACCAACTATTTCAAGATACTTTTCACAACTACAGTATTATTGCCAAGCCAGGTATCACCATTCCTATTCCCGTGCATTTGGGTTTTATTTCCTAAGTAAAGAATTTGGCATTTATTTCTTAAATTGCACATGGTTATTTTCAGATCAATTATGGAACCTATCCAGATAGTTTCATTTCCCCCTCTTTCTTCTAAGGTATTAGATATTCCATTCAACTTTCTCACTTGCAACTCACAATTTTCTTTTTTTTCTTTTTTACATTATTTTTTCTTTTTTATTCATAAAAATTCTTTCTCTGTGTTGTTAATGTTTAGAATATTAGTTACAGATTGCACTTTTTTCAGTATGATGTTCAATGAAGCTGCATATCCCCTTAATTGACAGGCCATCTAGTCTACATTTAACTAGCTTGTTAATCAGAATATTATGGAGGACTTTGGTCAAATATAACACTTAGGATTTGACAGTTGATCTATAAACACCCAAGGCATTATAGTCATGACTGAGCAGAAATGCTAAAAAGGTTAGATTTGTAAATAAAAGTTATAGAAGATACAAGAGTTGTTATTGTTATATATATTTGTTGTGTATAGAAGTGTTTAACTGAGGATCTCTAAATGTTGAATAATATTCAGTTTATTCAGTATGGATAGAAACTTCTCTCCCCCCCTCCATTTTCTTTCTTTTGAGCAAAGGTAATTGATGTGTTCTCTGGTAAATGGAATCTTTTCAACACACCCACAACTCTCAAAGTGGGGGAAAAAAACCCACACAGAATTGCTGGGAAAGCTTTAGCTGCTTCAGCATAAACTGAAGCCCGCCTAAATCCTGCAATAGCAAGGTTAATGCAATCAGCCACTGATAGTGCGTATCTATAAGCAAGGCCTCCATCAGGCAGCCATATCTTTTCTAGTTCCTTTCTGTCTTTTTTGCTCTTGACAGAGAGCCACCATTCCTCACCCACTAAGCAGGCTCTATCCTGATTCAACAGCTTGGAAAATTCATCCCTTAGGTTCCTTTCTGTCTTTCTAAAGAATAATATTTCTGGAAACTTTGATGCTCCAAAGTACCCTTTCCTGGTGAATGGCGCCATTTGAGCTACGTAAGGAGCCACAATGAGTAATCTGTATGGTACATGTATGCAACTTTGAAAAAAGTAAATATCCTGAATTGGTTTAAAATGAAAAACATATTTGTTCAGATGGGGGGAAAAAAGAAAAAGTGAGGGGAGAAAGGAGCCTACTACTGAGATTTATTTACTAGAAGACTGTGTATAAACTGTACTCAGTCCTGTGCCATCTATGAATTATACCACTTCATTAGCCATTGCTGAGAAAACCTCCATTTGATCTGAAACATTTTCTTCCTATTCATTCTGTATTTATCACTTCATGGATTGACTTGAAAGTGAGACTAGTTTTTCCTCCACTAATTTATTTTTAAAGTGTGTCCTAAATTGACTGACAGTACAATAAAGGAGGGAGATTAGTTCCTGACTATCTTCCTTCTTTTAGGATATCGCCTTACATTCATGATCATTTTCCTTTCCGGTAAATATTGTAAATTTTCTTATCTCTCTAAGAAACTGCTGCGAACAATTTGTTAGTGTGGGTGTTTGCTGTGTTACGATAGTATTGACGATGTTTATTTTTTACAACATTTATATTTAGTAAGTGTTACCTAAATTATATGTTTTAATATAAGATGGTTTTACATGTTTTTATCCCTTGTTTGTTGAAAAATGAAATACATACTGCTTTACAGTGGGCAACTTTTTGCTGTGCCTTAGAGACAGACTAAATGCTTATCTATTGGATTTTAAGCATGATAGATTTTAAAAAAACCTGGCTAGCTTACAATGTTAAAATAATATGCATTTTTAAAAAATCCCTCAGACAAAGCTTCACAAATAATATCCAAACAATGGCTCCACAAACCTAACTCCTGGTCTGGGAACGCCAGTAAGGTCTTGTGATAGCATAGGAGTCATACAGTATGTATCTTTGCAAAGATGTTCTTACAGATAGCAGGTATTATGACAGAGAAGGCATGGTGAAAGGACATGGAGTGACAAGTTCATCTGTGCAGTCCAAAGTTGAGGTGCACAATTGGGTATCGTTAACATTCTGATGATACCAAACCCTGAATAATGGTCAATCTTACCCAGTGATTTCATTTAGATGTTAAACAGGAAGGAGAAGGCTGTTAATCCTGAAGCATTCCACAGGTGAAGAGTAACCTTACCCCATTTTCAATACTGACTGGAATTAGTTATTTAGGATGGGGCAAATTACCGCAGCACAATGGCCCCCATCCTAGCCCTTGCAATTTGTCCAGAAGGATTCCATATTGGATAGTATTGAAGAGTTCTGAGGGATCAAGGATAACAAAAATGCATGCACCATGCCTATCCTGGTTTTACTAAAAGTCATCAAGAAGCTCAGTACTGAACTGTGTCTTGGACTGGAATGGATCCAGATTATTCACTTCCTCCAAACCCCTCTGCAACTGATTTCCGACCACCTTCTCAGCAACTTTTTTTTCACAGGAAGACTGAAGACTGAACAGTAACTGTCCAGGATGGAAGGGTTCAGTAATGGCCTCTTGAGATGGAAACATACCACTGCCTCCTTCAGGGTAGTGAGACCATTCCTTCCTCCAAAAAGGATTACATCATTACATGGACACAACTGTAAGTAACCTCTTGAACTGACTTGACAACACAGGAGGCACCTGGCTGAACCTATACTTCACAAGACCTTGTTCATCAGGAGTGTTGTGTTATGCCCAATGGTACCAATATGGAGACTTCCCTTGGCACATACCCAGATTATTGACATATCAAGATTCTTTTAACTTTAAAAACAAATCATGGTCATATGAAGAACAAAATGTCTACTTCTAATATCCTTTCATTTCCAAGAATATGTCTAGGCCCCAAGCAAGCCAAGACTCTTGAAAAATTAAAATTATTCGCTAAAACCTAGAATATTATTTGGAAATGTGCTTGCCTGCTGTGAAAAAAAAAACAGACCAAAAGAAGGTGGAAATATAGTATCATCCATGAAAAATCAGAATCACATTTCAGTTCTGGTTCAGATGGCTTATTGCTCAACCCTATACACAAGAATCTGGTCAACTAACTGTCAGCACTGAATTGGCACTAGATAGGATTTAATGGAATATGGGGGGGGAGGGGGGCTGGTTTTGGAGCGTTTTTGACCATGTAACAATTCTAGTCTGAGTTCTCCCTTGAGTCTGCCTCCAGACTCCTGCCTGTTCTTCTCTACACATTTGTTGTTGTTCAGTCACTAAGTTATGCCTGGCTCTTCACAACCCTTTGGACCACTGCACACAAGGCCCTCCTGCCCTGCACTCTCTCTTGGAGTCTGCCCAAACTCTTGTACACTGCATCAATGGCATTATTTAACCATCTCATCTTCTGCAATTCCCTTCTCCTTTTGCCTTCAATCTTTCCCAACATCAGGGTCTTTTCCAATGAGCCTTCTCTTCTCATTTGTGACCAAAGTATTTGAGCTTAAGCTTCAGTATCTGTTGTCAGTGTTGGAAGCCATATTAGGCTTCATGCTTCCATACTGCCACCTTCTCATGTGTGGGAAAGTAGGAGAGGGGATTTAGTAGAGGGATTGTCTTTAGACATAATAGCATTCTTCCTGTCGGTCAAGGTCAGGGCGATCCTACATCTGGAGAAGGAGTGGTCGGAGTGAGGTCTCAAGATGGCACAGCGGTTGATTGGAGCATTTGATTGTCTGAGGAGTGAGGGGATGGTTTTGGGGGTTTTGATTTACTGAGGGAAAACCCGGACCTCTCAGATTTAGGTTTTCCCAGATGTGCCAGTTTATCTATTCTAGTAAATAGAACTTTGAAAAATGCTTGATTCAGAGTTTTTACTTGGAGTTGGGTTTTTTTCTGGAACGCTGACATCTGTCTTCCAAAGAATAGTCAAGGATGATTTCATTTAGGATTGATTAATTTGATCTCCTTGCAGTCCAAGAGTCTTCTCCAACATCATAATTCGAAAGCATCTCCCACACATAGGGAAGTGTAACAACAGGGCGGGGGAAGGAGGTACATAAGGAATGGAGATCAATCTCTCAGTTAGCCTTCTGATGAATGGGAGGTTTAATTGACCATTTCCACCATGAGAACATTCTTGTGTGTGGGCAGATCCTCTCAGGAAACATTCTATGAGACATGTTCTCAAACAATCATCTCTAATGCTAGTCTAAATGGGGAAACTCTGGGGAAATGTTAACTCATCTCTTTGTACCTTGATCCTCAACTGGATTGGGGCCCTTAGTCTAGAGTTCCTAGAATAGGAACATCTGCAACCTTTTTGAGGATGTAGTTAGAATTAAGACAAAGATTTTGATTTACATTAATTGCATACAGGAAATTGATTATTTCTTATACTTAGATGTCATCATCAGAAGTAAAATTTGATGGCAATTTTGGGGTAGGATTTTTGAAATCATACTGTATGTAGTTTGGAGAAACTACATAAAATCCTGAGAAGACTTTCATCACCATCACTACCGCCACTAAGAGCAACAGTAGTACCCATGAAATTTAATATGTAGTTTGTAGCTAGCCTTCCTTTTGCTTCCTCTCTGATATATATGTTACATATTTTGTGGAAGCAGGGGAATTCATAATTGTAAAATGCTGCTCATGAAAGCTTTGAAAATGGATGAATGCTGATTCTCCGTTTCAGAAGGTATACTTATCCTGTGTCATCTTCTTCTTTTCTTTAATAATTGAAAGCCTTTCTACCTGTCAAGCTCTTCACTGGATAAGGAGCCTAACAGGACTCAGAGAGTGATGAACTCAGATTAATTTAATGGATGGAAGACCTCCATAACCCTTTTTTATGTCTTTCCAGCCTAAGGATATAATTTTTCCATCATTTTAGGCTCTTCCCTAGTTTCCGCAGTTTCCCAAATGTACAGGAATATCACGCTTCCAGAAATTGTCAGGGCCTCTTTCAGGTCAGAATCAGCAGCAAGGAGTGACAGAACTAAAGAATTACTCTTCCATTAATTTCAATTCAGCAGAAACAGGGATATGAACAACAGTTCTTATACAGAGAATTAATTAATTAATTAATGTATTTATTTATGTATTTATTTATTTAAATTTTTATACCAACCTTCTCCGGAAGAACTCAGGGCGGTGCACAGCCAACACTAAAACACACATATACAAAAATTTTTAAAACAGTTTAAAAATATATTAAATAATTTGGCCCCAGTCTTATTATAAAACTAAAACAACCATTAAAATTCATGTTTAGGCCAGCCCAGCTTGTTGGAACAATAAGGTCTTGAGGGCACGGCTTAGGTCAGGGATCATCTGTATCTCGGGGGCAATTCATTCCAGAGGGCAGGTGCCCCCACAGAGAAGGCTCTCCCCCTGGGGGTCACCAGTCGACATTGTTTGACCGATGGCACCCTGAGGAGTCCCTCTCTGTGGGAGTGTATTGGCCGGTGGGAGGCTATTGGTAGCAGAAGGCGGTCTCATAAGTACACAGGTCCTAAGCCATGGAGCGCTTTAAAGATGGTAACCAACATCTTGAATCGCACCTGGAAGACCACTGGGAGCCAGTGCAGCTTGCGCAGGAGAGGTGTTACATGGGTGTGCCGTGTTGGTACCATAATCACCTGCGCAGTCACATTCTGGACCAGTTGGAGCCTCCGAGTGCTCTTCAAGGGGAGCCCCATGTAGAGAGCATTACAGTAGTCCAGATGGGAGGTGATGAGGGCATGAGTGACCGTGCGCAAGGAGTCCCAGTCCAGAAAGGGACGCAACTGATAGATCAGGCAAACCTGATAAAAAGCCCCCCTGGCCACAGCCATCACATGATCTTCTAGAGACAGCCGCGCATCCAGGAGGACACCTAAGTTGCGAGCCCTCTCTGAGGGGGCCAAAATCTCATCCCCAATAGTCAGCGATGGAACCAGCTGGCTATACCGGGATGCCGGAAACCACAGCCACTCAGTCTTGGAGGGGTTGAGTCTGAGCTTGTTTCTCCCCATCCAGATCCGCACGGCCTCCAGGACATCATGTCAAGGGCATCACTGGGGTGATCCAGGGTGGAGATGTACAGCTGAGTATCATCAGCGTACTGATGGAACTTCACCCCAAAACCATGGATGATCTCGCCCAGCGGCTTCACATAAATGTTGAACAGGAGGGGCGAGAGGATCGACCCTTGCGGCACCCCACAAACAAGGCGCCTCGAGGTCGACCTCTGTCCCCTGCCAACACAAACTGCGTGTGGTCAGAGAGGAAGGAGGAGAACCACTGCAACATGGTGCCCCCCACTCCTAACCCCTCCAACCAGCGCAGCATGATACCATGGTCGATGGTATCAAAAGCCGCTGAGAGGTCTAATAGGACCAGGACAGAGGAACAACCCCTGTCCCGAGCCCTCCAGAGATCATCAACCAATGCGACCAATGCCGTTTCTGTGCTGTACCCCGGCCTGAAGCCCAACTGGTACGGGTCTAGATAGACAGCTTCATCCAGGTACTGGGGAAGTTGTTGCGTCACCACACTCTCAACAACTTTCACCACAAAGCGAAGATTGGAGACTGGATGATAGTTCTCTAATACTGCCGGGTCCAGGGAAGGCTTCTTGAGGAGGGGCCTCACCACTGCCTCTTTCAAGGCGGAGGGGAAGCAACCCTCACTCAAAGAAGAGTTAATAATCACCTGAAGCCAGCCTCGTGTGACCGCCCGGGAGGCCAGTACCAACCAGGAGGGACACAGGTCCAATAAACGTGGCAGCGCTAAGCCTACCCAGAATCCTGTCCACATCCTCGGGAGTCACAAGGTCAAACTCCTCCCAGATAATCATCTCAAGACCCACCTCCATCACCCCCCCTGAATCTACCCAGTCGGAGTCCAAGCCTTCCCGAATATGAGCGATTTTGTCATGGAGGTATTGCACAAAATCCTCAGCCCTACCCTGCAAGGGGTCTTCCCGCACTCCCAAATGAAGTAGGGAGCGGGTCATTCTAAACAGGGTGGCTGGGCAGTTATCTGCAGCTGCAATAAGAGCGGAAAAAAAATTAGATTTTGCCACTCTTATCGCCACTAGGTAGATCTTAATATGAGACCTCACCAGTGTTCGGTCAGATTCGGAATGACTGGCCCTCCAATCGCTCTCCCATCCGGTATTAACCCATCCGGTAGGTTCTTGCACTGAGCTCTCCAAGGTACCCACCATGTTTCGTTCTGCTAGAGCAGCTCATTATGAGTACAATCCTTAGCGGCTTCTTGAGGTCTCTAACAAGGCCAGGCCAGGTCAATTCCTTTGAAGCATCAGGCAAGATTTCCTTCTCATTTAGGTCTCGTTAGGTGTCATTTATTTAACAAGTTGATTAGAATTAAATGAATTCTGTGTAACCTGGGTTATGTTGTCCACTTCATCATCATCTCTTTATAAACATAAAATTGAGCAGAAGGTTGACTGAGATTTATTAATTACAAAGCAGGATAGGATTAGATTATTTGACAATGAACAGCAGCAAGAAAGCTCTCTTTGCTTAAATTTTAGTGCTAAAACTAAGGAAGTTGATTTAAGCTCAAGTACTTGTAAAATGACTATGATCTTCTTTCTGGTTTGATTCTCTATTTAAAATAATTGCCCAGGGCCATAGCTCTTTC